CACACACACACACACACACACACACACACACACACACACACACACACACACACACACACACACACACACACACACACAGCGGAAAAAAAAGAACACTTTTTAATTTTAAAGTTAAGTAGCAGAGGGGGTTGTTAATCAGTTTCAGCTGCTTTTGTGTTAATGAAATTAACAACAGATGCACTAGAGGAGCAACAATGAGACGACCCCCAAAACAGGAATGGTTTGACAGGTGGAGACCACTGACATTTTTCCCTCCTCATTTTTTCTGACTATTTTTTCACTAGTTTTGCATTTGGCTATGGTCAGTGTCACTACAGGTAGCATGAGCGGATATCTGGACCCTACAGAGGTTGCACAGCTAGTCCAAATGCAGATTTGTTTAAAAATCTAGAAAGGTCTCATATATACAGTCATTGTAAAAATTAAGTAAACAAATAAATTAAGTAATCTTTCGGTTTAACACAATTGAAACTTGTGACTTCCATCTCTACTACACTGTACTATAAAATACTGCCATCTAGTGTTTAGAACTCAGAAAACCACAGTAGGCCAATCAGAACTACTGCTTCACACCAAAAACACAAAAAGACTGATGGAACGATGTATCAAATGTCAATTTATATACGCATGAGCTGGTATACAGCAATACATCTGAAAGGATTATGGACACAAAGCATCAATAGAACTTCTGAGAAGCAAAGGGCAGCCAAACACCATATATGCAGATATATGTGGTTTTATTTAAAGAAAAAAATCTATAGAAAATTAAGGCACTGAGGTGCATCATAACAGTCCAGCATGATAAGTGACATGCATCAAAACATTTTACCTCTCAAATATCAGTAAAGCATATTTAAATATCCGACAATCAAATACATGTGAAAGTGGTATTTTGAGCACTGGTAGTGTCAAGGAGAGACACATTTTTCTCCATGAACTGTTTGGAAGCAAGTGTGAGTACAAGTGTCTGTGCTGCTACAACTGGAAATTTTGGTAAAACTGATTTCCATGATACTCGCCCTACTGCGGCAAGACCAAATGATCATAAACCAAAGGGTGAAGCTTCGGTGGAGCTCTCAGAGGTCCACAGACCTGATGGTGTTACGGGCGGAACCTGTCTCAATGCTGCCCCCTAGGCACTCGGAGGCCTCCACTGTGCTACCACAACACGACCAGTGGGCCCTGCCTGGGTGGCCCAGGTGTCCGTGTCCGCAGCCCTGGTATCCGCCTGAAAGCAGAAAGAAGCACATGCATACTCAAAACAACCTTGAAAAGTGGGAAACAGGAAAAATCAGAATACTCCCCCTTTGCCTAGGCAAACATCAGATGGGACCCACCCCTCAAGCGTACCACCCTCAAAGGTTTACCTGGCATCGACCCCCCACAGCCACATCGGGCCTCTTTAGCACCACCACTGGAGCAGAAGGAACAGCAGTGAAACACACCGCGGTGTCTGCGTACCTTCCTCTTCACTGTCAGGACAAAAGGTGAGCCCTGAAATCACACACACGCACATCTGCTTGTATTCCTGTTAGAGGGTAACTGTTAATTATCACTGTTCATACAATGTTAATATTCTTTGCATTCTTTGCATTTCTGATATACACTCACCTAAAGGATTATTAGGAACACCTGTTCAATTTCTCATTAATGCAATTATCTAATCAACCAATCATATGGCAGTTG